AGGTGTAATTGCCCTGGTCTGAGGCCAGGATGTGGTACAGCTATAGGGGGGCCCCAGCCTCAGATGCCCAGGCTCTACTTCTGCTGTCCTAAAAAAAAACAAACTGGTTGCCATCGAGTCGATTCCGAATCATAGCTACCCTATAGGACAGAGTAGAACTGCCTCATAGGGTTTCCAAGGAGCGGCTGGTGGATTCAAACTGCCAACATTTTGTTTAGCAGCCAAGCTCTTAACTACTGCACCTCTGCACAGCTCTGGAAAGCAGGAGCCAGATCTCCCAGTTCCAAGTGCAGACTGGCTAGTTTTCTTTCTCTCTCTCTCTCTTTCTTCCTTCTTTCCTTCCTTTCTTTTTTTCCATCCATTGGCTTCTTTTCTATCTCCTCCAAAATATGGGCTTGGTTCAGGCGAACCAGGGGAGGTAGGAGTCCTGAGCACTTCCTCTCCCTGGGTCTAGGGTTAGGGCAGCAAGTCACTTCCAAGGCCCGCTGAAAAAGGACTAGTTCTTGGCCTCCCTCCCACTACACACAGAGATTTGAATCCTGTCCTGCACCAGTTTTTGGGCCCAGGAGACAGTGGGGGCTGGGAGACTTTGAGCTGAGGGTTGAGGAGGTAAGTCCAGGGATATGGGAGAAGCCTGGGGTGGAAGCCCAGTAGAACACTCCCCAAGATGGAATTCATGCTTTCCTTGCAGGAGCCACTAGTAACTGCCTCCAGCCTCACCTTAGAGCCTTCAATTTCTCCTTCAATTCCAGAAGTGGCATAAAAGAAGAAAGGCTAGGGATCAAGGTGCAGGGCAAGAGTCCCTTACCTGTGATGATTAGCAACGTCGGGAAGCATCAGTCCATGAGCTATAAAGAAAGGGTAGAGGAGCACAGACTGGAGTTTAAGCTTCCCTCATGAGCCTGCTTCCAGCCCTGGGTCCAAGCCTCCACACCCTAAGGTCTTCTGTGGGAAACTCCTACTCCCTGAAAAGGCTCCCTCAGGTCTCCATCAGTGATCAATACACTATGATTGTGCCCAGGGACCACAAACTGGTTCCACAGTTCTAGAATGCAGCCAAAAGGGGGGAAGCCTGGCCACTCCTAGAAAGTTCCACAGCTCATTGGAGGAAAATCAGATGGCTGGCTCTGCTCAGCAATATATATATATAGAGAGAGAAAAGGGCAAAAAGAAACAAACTCAAAGAAAGAAACACATAAGAAAAAAACAGAGACAAGAGACAGATCTAAAGGCACAGTGAGACAGATGGGAACTTAGAGCTACATAGAGAGAAGGAGAGAATGAATTTATATATACATACATATATACGTATGTATATGTATATTTATCATATGGGGAGAATTCAAAAAGACAAAGAGGCTGAGACAAAATCTGAAACAGAGTCAGAAAGACCTGAAGAGAAATTTCTGGAGGCCACCTGCCCGCTGCTGGGGTCACTCAGGTACTTCCTTCTGCCCTCAGTTCCTACCACTCAACAATGACCCAATGATACTTTCCTACCCAACATGGCCAAGTCCCTCAACAACTCAAGTTCCTCCTTATTCTTATTCCATCTCTCCATCATTCTCTAACTGTCCCAATTCCCACTCCCCTCCACCCCGTCTGGTTAAGGTTTCACCCTTCTCTCAAACCTCCTTTCAGCTGATGTCTCAGAGGGGCTTTCAAGGTTGGGCCTGGTCTTAGTCATCTAGTGCTGTTATAACAGAAATACCACAAGTGGATGGATTTAACAAAGAGAAATTTATTTCTTCACAGTAAAGTAGGCTAAAAGTCCAAATTCAGGGCGTCAGCTCCAGGGGAAGGCTTTCTCTGTTAGCCTTCTCATCAATGTTCCCCTGGACTAGGAGCTTCTCTGTGCAGGGACCCCAGGTCCAAAGGACACACTCTGCTCCCGGCACTGCTTTCTTGGTGGTCTGAGGTTCCCCAGCTCTCCACTTGCTTCCCTTTCCTTTTATCTCTCGAGAGATAAAAGGTGGTACAGGCCACACCCTAGGGAAACTCCTTTACATTGAATCAGGGATGTGACCTGCGTAAGGGTGGTATTACAATCCCACCCTAATCCTCTTTAACTTAAAATTACAATCACAAAATGAAGGACAATCACACAATACTGGGAATCATGGCCCAGCCAAATTGATACACATCTTTTGAGGGGGACATAATTCAATCCATGACAGGCCTCTTGCAATCTCTTTTCCTGGTCATTACTCTGTTCTGCTTGTCCATGTCCTTACTCTGGCTGAGCAGAGAGCCGAGAGCAAAGAGCCAGACTTGGAGTCAGGAAGGCATGGGGCCAGAACAAACCATGGGAGAAATGTAGAAGGGTCAGAGGGCAACAGAGGAAGAGCAAAGAGAGGGGCTAAAGGGCAAGATGTCCTGGAAGATATAGACAGTGAGAATCGTGGGAGTCTGGAGAGTGTGACTGAGACCCCTGGGTTGGCTTTCTGTGAAATGCTGAGAACCAGAGATGATTCCGGGGTCAGAAGATGAAATTAAGGGAAGAAGGAGAAGATGGATTAAGGGCTTGGTGAAGGTTTGACGCCAGGAGGCATGAATTTGGGGCTGGGACACACATCTAAGCCTGGGAAGCTGGCCTCTACGGATCTTTGCTTGCTAGAAGCAACCAACTGAAACCGACCAAACTTATTGGACTATGAGACTTTCAAGATGAGCTTCCCCCACCCCTGCTCCTGAGCAGAGCTTATCCTTGGATATTATCAGCAGATGAAAGCAAGTCCAGAGAACCAAGAGCCCTGGCTGCCCTTCTCCCTACCCTTTTGTCTATCTTTCACAATTCTCTCTCAGGTCTACGTTTCCCTTTATCTTAATGCCTTCTCAGTTTTCGTATCATTGACAGTGTCATTGAAGACCACTTCAGATGCCCTGGGAGTAAAGTGTGAATCATATAAGCCCAGACTGGCTAATTTTCTTTCTTTCTCTTTCTTCCTTCTTTCCTCCTCCACCCCTCCTTGTCTGTCTCCTCCAAAATATTGGCTTGGCTCAGACTAACCAGGGGAAGTAGGAGTCCTGGGTAGTTCCTCCCCTTGGATGTAGGGTTAGGGCAGCAATGGATACAGGCCTGTAGCTACTCGGCAGAACTGGAAGAGGGCCACAGGAGAGGTACTGCCAAGAAGTGTATGAGGTGTTCAGGCTCCATGTCCAAGTGAGATTCCTACAGCTGAGGACTCAGAGTCAGAGTGGAAGCTGGGAGGAGAGGAAAAGCAAAGCTGGGAGAGGAGCTGGAAAGGCCCCTGGGGTGGGGAGTTCCCTTTTCTACCCTGGAGAAGAAGAAAATGTGTCTGGCAGAACAGTCAAAGACTTAGGCAAAAAACAAGAGCTTGAAATGGGCATATAGGCCAATAATGTGTAAGCAAAATGACCCCGCCCCCAGGAACCTCCTCTCCTGAGTCCTAGGAGTGTGACAGATCTGAATCCAGCTGTTGGGAGGCTAGCCAGTCAGTTGCCTTAGGGAGAAGAAGACTGGCTTTCAGATTTCAGCCAAGGACAGAGAAGTGAAGTTAGTGATTTTTACCATGATCTGGGAAAAATGAGGATCCAGACTTAGGGGAAGCTTTAGTTGGGTGGTCTATTGTTGGGTCTGAGCTTTAAGGTGCGGGTAAAGAACAGCTCCTGGTAACCTTCCAGTCTAACTTCACCTTCTTGCACACATCCTCCACATGCTGTTTTCTCCAAGGACCAAGAGTTGGGATCAGGAGAGGAAAAGCTCTGCTGTGGTCTCAGATCCCTGGGTGACATATCTACTGCAGCCTGGCAGCTCTTTCTGGCCTTGCTTTCTCAGGGCACCATGGGGAGAAGTTGCTGGGTAGAAACCAAAGGCAAAAGTAGCAAGCATCACTGCCACTTTATAACTCAGCCCTAGGGGACCTAGAGGTCCTGTTTCTGCCCCACCCCAGCGACACTGGGTGTAGAAATCCATCTGCATTTCCTCCTGCAGCTGAACTAGGCAGCTTGAATCTGGGCCTCTTCATTCTTCACTGGGTCCTGGAGGGACAGAGTTAAGATGCAGCTCTAGAACCTGGCTGGAATAAAAGGAAGGTATCAGGGAGGGGCAGGAGTCTGTTTTTCTCACCCTGCCTCCCACCTCACCCCAATCCAGCTTCTAAGGCTGGGCAGCTTCTAACACTGGATTTTATCAGGAGAAACTCCCTGCCCTTAGTCCTAAGTTCCAGCCACCTCACTGCCTCAGTTTCCTTGTGCTGGATGAGCCTGATGAGGCAAAAGGAAATAAGGAAGTACACTTTTAGGACTCAGTAGTGAAAAGCTCTCCAAGGATCGAGTATGCCTAAGGTTATTTCCCCCCACTCCCTGCCCAACCATACACAGCAATTAAAATGTACCCTGAGAGACTGGGTTCTGCTACCCTCTAGTGGTCAGAGCTGAAAGGACGCTCCTACCCAATCAATCGGGTCCTTCAGCCGTTAGCATAGAACGTTGGTCTGGAAGACACCTAAGGGATAAAGCAACAGCAGATTTTACAAATGAGAAGCTGAGAAGACCTAGAGAGAGAAATGGTCACCTTGAGAGTCAGAGGCATAGCTGGGACTGGAATCCAAGTCTCCTGACTCCTAGGCCAGTGCTCAGTGCGCTTGCCCTTCCTTACCCTCTGACTTTTGCTTCTCCTTCCTAGCTCATCCCTGGGGAAGTCTGCCCGAATTAGAAACCCTGGACGCCAAAAGGACACAGCCCCTCTTTGCCCTCCCGCCCCGGGGAGCAACACCTGCACTTCAAATGTCATAATCCCGTGTCAGTTCGCAGCTGAGGTAGCAGGGCTCCTTCTAAGGGGCTGCTGTCCTCCAACTTTCTGAGGTTAACAATCTTTCAGGATTTTTATTGACCTCGCACAGCTTCTGTCGCTATGGCGACAGCACTGTCAGTTTCCGGTAGTTACCCAGGTCTCCTGTCTCCACGGTAACCGGTGCTTTGCGACCTTCAGTTTGCAGCGTTCGCACTGCAGCCGCGGCAGTGGTTGCTGAGCGACAGCGGAGCGAAGCCGGGCATCCGGTAGAGGGGCGCTTATCAGGGAAGCCCAGGAAGACGAGGTGCCTGGACCCCATGTAGGCGCGCTGACCCCGCAGCCCTCCCGCCTAGCCGGGGCCCATGGCGGTGGCGGTGCCCCCCGGCGGGGCGGGGGGCTCGGGCTGGGCCTGGCGGCCGGTGGTGCGGGACGCGCTTCTGGCGCGGGCGTTCCACTCATGCACCGAACTGCGAGGACGGTTCTATCTGGTGGGAGGTCTCCTAGCCGGAGGAGCGAAAGAGCCCAGCAGTGACACGGTGGCCTTCGATCCGGCTGGGGGCCAGGCCGTGAAGGTGGAAGCCCGGGGCGGTCCGAAGCGCAGCCACCATGACGCGGCGCCGGTGGGTGGGCGCTGGCTCTGCGTGGTGGGCGGCTGGGATGGGTCGCGCCGTGTGGCCGCAGTGGCCGCCCTGGACGCGGAGCTTGGAGTGTGGGAAGCGTGGACCGCGGCCCCCGGCAACTGCCCGCCTGCCGGCCTCAGTAGTCACACCTGCACCCGCCTCTCCGACCGAGAGCTGCGGGTGGCTGGCCGGGAGGGTGGTACCCGCACCCAGCGCCGCTATGGAAGCATCTACACGTTAAAGCTGGACCCCAGCGCCCGCACCTATTGGTATGACACCCCCTGCCCCAAACCCATCACCCTTCCTTATCCACACTGTGGAAAAACAAAAAGACTAAACAGACTTCACAGGGAATTTTTCCACATCCGCACCCCAGCACCCTCATTTCACGAGAATCTACCCATGTCTAAGAAGTCTGAACTTTTCTACCGGTATTACCTTCCCTCTCATCCGACCTACCACAATGGCCCATGCCTCCTTTCTGTCCTTGAAAGGGGGTGGGACTAAGGCAGTACAGCACTTGTATTTTCCAGAAAACCCAACTCAGGCCTGAATTTCTGCACATCCACAGCTACAAGGAAGAAGGCTGCCACACAGCCTCACGCTCAGGTCACTGTGCTGCCTTGCTCCAAACTCCTGGGCCCCACCCAGCTCATCAGCTATTGCTCTTTGGGGGTTGCAACTCAGCTGAACCAGAAGTAGCTGGACATTGGAGCTACGGGAAGATTAAGGTATTACCTATTCACATCTTAGGGTAGAAGGGGGCTAAAATTGTGATCCCCAAATTCCTTCAGACAGTCCCTTCTCCCCCAAGGAAGAACCACCTGTTGCTCCCCGTCTGATGGAACAGCTTGCAAGGCTTGTGAGCAGTGGGCAGGGGTCCCGGCAGGGGCCCTGGGGACTACGGCATCACTCATGTTCTGCGGTGGGGCCCTTTGCTGTACTGTTTGGTGGAGAAACTCTGACCAGAAGTAGAGACACCATCTGCAATGACCTCTACATCTATGATACACGTGAGAACCAGCTTAATAATGGCTGGAGCGGGGGGAAAGGTGGGAAGACAGGGGAACCTGAAGAGTGCAGAAAGAGGATGGAGTGATGGGGTAGGGAGGATTAGTACAAGATTAATGGAGTGCATCTAGTATTAAACATTTGAAGAGGAATACAATTCAAGTGAGGAGAGAAATGGGAAAGCTTTTGGTCTTGTTAAGAGCCCCACGGGTGCCAAAGCGCTCCTGCCTCAATAACTGCCCTCTACCCCTTCCCAACAGGCAAGTCTCCTTCTCTGTGGTTCCACTTCCCCTGTGCAGACCGTGGGCTGAAACGCGTAGGTCATCGGACCTGCCTTTGGAATGATCAACTTTACCTGGTTGGGGGTTTTGGTGAGGATGGCAAGACAGCTAGTCCACAGGTTTGCATCTTGGACCTCTTTGTCTAAAGTGGCAAGACACACCGCTAAAGCCTCTGTTTTGTTGGAGACTCATAAAGAATTATCACCAGAGCTATCTGCCTCATTTCAAATGCATATTAAAGTTCAATCTCAGAATCAACATTTATCTCTAAACCTTTTCTGGGGAGGTGGTAAATAAGTACATGCATCTTTATTTGCAAGGGAAAGGATAAAATACGGGTCCTACTCTGATACTGAGTCATTACCCTGGTGGAACCAGAAACCACAAATCATATGCTGTCCCCTGTCCCTGCATCACGCAATTTCCACCCGACTACTGGGAGAAAGCATCAGGCTAAAGCTAAGCATTCTGACCAAAACATTTAATTAACAAAAAAATATTACAATAGCAGATAAAATAATAACAATAAAGAGAAAATTAGAAGAAGTGGGAGTGAGGGTAGCAAAAAATGCAAAGGCCTTGGTCTCTAGGAGACCAGCACTCCGGCTGAGCTGGCCTTAGCCCCAGCTCCTTCTGAGTTCTCCTTGGCTGCTGGCTTCTCATCTTCCCCCATGAGACGAATGTTGTGCTTTTCCCGGAATTCATTGAGTTCTTTTCCCTTTGCCTGAAGCTGCTGTGTCAATGTCTCAATGATCTTCTGGATCTAGAGGGCAAGAGACGGGTTATATAAGGATTTCAGGACCCCCTTCTCCTGCCTGGTATGGACTATGATTGGGAGAAATGAAAGAGAAATAACATCAACATCTCTAAACTCATCTTTAACCAAGTATTAATAATGGAGCCCAGACACTGAAATTATTCCTTTCTCGAACACCAAAAACCAACCCATCACCATCGAGTCGATTCTGACTCATAGTGACCCTATAGGGCAGGGTAGAGCTGCCCCATAGAGTTTCCAAGGAGTGCCTGGTGGATTGCGAACTGCCGACCTTTTGGTTGGCAGACGTAGCTCTTAACCATTGCACCAACAGGATTTTCTTTCTCAAACAGTGGTTTACAAACTTCAAGTGTATATAAGAATCACCTGGGCTGCTTATTTCAAAAATGCCCCTTCATGAGCTCCATTACCAAAGATTCTGATTTAGTGGGTCCAGTAAGCTGCATTTTAAATTAGTCTGCCAAGTGATTTTGATGCAGGTTTCCATGGACCAAGGAGCCCTGCTGGCACAGTGGTCAAGTGCTCAGCTGCTAACCAGAAGGTTGGCAGTTCGAACCCACCAGCCACACCATGGTAGAAGGATGTGGCAGTCTGCTTCTGTAAAGATTACAACCTTGGAAACCCTATGGGGCAGTTCTACTCTGTCCTATATGGTCGCTATGAGTCAGGATTGACCCCATGGCGGCGGGTTTGGTTTTGGGTTATCCATGGACCACACTGAGAAATACTGCTCTCCACCCCGTTCAGCCAGGTCACAGAGCCCATGAAAAGAGGCAGACGACCAGCAACTCCTCTTGTCCAAGGAAATTCCAGGCTTTTTATGCTGTCTTCAACCTGAGTTCCTCCCCAGACTTTCCTCCACCACATTCCCTGGCCTCCCCTGCTTCCTTACCCCTTGGTGCCCAGAGCTTCTACTCAGGGATCCTGCTCACCTGCTCCTTGTTGTTCTCCAAGGCAGGCAGCACCTCTTTGACAGTCCGCTCCACCAGCACCCCTCCAACCATGCGGTAGCACTTGCGGGTTTCATCTACTTCCTTCAGCGTATCGATCACTAGGCTGGGGTTGGAGGACAAGGCAGGATCTGAGAACTCAGTCCTACTCTACTGCAACCCTGCCTGACAGAATGGCCTATCTAACTCTATTGTTTGCTGCTCCCCAGCTTCCTCACCTGTGCTCATTCAACTCCATCTCCAGCTCAGCTGCTTTGGATGCCAGGCCCCGCTGTTCCTGCCGAAGGCGGTTAAAGCCAGCTATTACCTAAAAAAAGTGGTAACAGGTGAGAGAGGGAAGGGACAGTGGAAATAGCAGAGTCAAGATGGTACATAGTGTAGCAAGCTTCACAAAGGTGCAGTAGTGGACACCTACTTTGGAAAAGGAGTAGAACACAAGTTTGCGATTTCTAACTTAAGTCTATCCGGATTTCCTTTCACCAAACACTTGCTGAGTGCCTACTGGGTGCCAGATATTTGCTAGGCACTGGGGGATATAACAGATTTGGCCCCTGGCTCCCTGCAGCCTGCAGTTTGGTGGGGAATGCTGTTAGTTGCCATCAAGTCGGTTCTGACTTATGGCAAACCCGTATGACCTTTCAGAAGCAGACTGCCAGGGCTGTTTTCTGAGGGAGGTTTAGCTGCCAACCTTTTGCTAGTAGTCAAGCACTTAACCACCTGTGTCACTCAGGGACTCCTTGGTGAGGAACAGGAACTTATAATGCAGGCATGGGGGTGAGGAACCTCAGGAGCATCTAGACTTGCCCGTAAGGAGGGCTTTCAGGAAAGGCTTTGTAACGACTGACTTAGTTGGGTCTGCCCAGCATCGCTCCCATTGGTGAACTGCTCTTCCTTAACTCTGTGGGGTTCTTTTGGGGCTACTAATCACAGGACGCTCACCCCTTGACCACAGAGGCACTGATCTATTCTGTGCCAGAGCCTCTCGACAGGAGTTTTAATTTTGGGTAAAGACAAACAGGTACAGAAGGCAGCTGGAGCTAAGACACCTAGCAGACCTATAGAGATGATCCTCCATTCCTGTTCCCAAGATCCCTGAAGCTGCCCTAGCTCTTGAACTTTCTGTGGCCTAGTCATTTAGCCTTTCTTTTAATTGTGTTCAATTCTGTGAACTACCTACTATCATCCTTCAAAGACACTAAAAAAAATAATAAGTTGGCCAGAGTCATGTTCTGTGGCCTACAAAGCCTAACTGATACAAGCTTTCAGAAAGATAATGCCTTAACTAAAGTCTGAATGATGAGGAATTCAGAAGGCTACGCAGAAGAGGCACGAGAAATACCACAGGAAAAGGCCCAGGGAAGTGCTCACTACCAGCTCAGTTCCCCAGAAGCTGCACAGAGCATGAAAACAGTGTGAAAGCCAGACCAGACTGGGTGCTAATTCCACACCGCCATCACTTCCAGTACTGATGACTGTTCGGAAAGAAATACAGGATGAAAAATAGGTGCTATAATAAGGAAAGAAAATGGGGAGGGAGGGTTTTTTTTTTAAAAGAAAAACTTGGAACTCGAGACAAAAGACCAGGTTTTAAGTTCTGCCTCTGCCGCTCACTGGCTCCATGGTCTCGGACAGATATTTAACCCTATGGTTCTGGACCCTGGCTACATCTTAGAGTCACTGGGGAGCATTTTAAAAAACACGAATAGGGAGCCTCAGAACAATTAGAGAATCACTGGGGATGGGACCCAGGCCTCAGTATTTTTAAAAAGATCCCCACATAATTCTAATGTGAGAACCACTGGGTTAACCTATTTAAGCCTTATTTTTCTCCCTTGTGAAATGCAGATAATAATGATACCTACTTCATGGGATTGTTCTATCAAGTGAACCAATGAGTGTGACACAATTTTACAAGCAGTAAAGTACATTAATTACTATTATGGCCTTCTCTCTAAATGCAGAAGTACTCCCTTGGGCCCTGTGGTCAGCTGAGAGCAGTGGGCCCATCCATTCAGTCCACTGCCAAATCTCCCTACAGTCTTATGTAGTGAAGAATTAACTTTACTCAAAGAGACGTTTGGCCTTTGTCCCTGGTTCCTGGGAGGTAGCCTCAAAATCCTTGGGATTTCCCGGGTGACTGAAGTATTTTTGTTATTCCTGACAGGCCCCTCAGACCACACCTGAGAGTTTATGCTAATGAATAACTCAGGATGGCCAGCTGGCCCTGCCAGAAAGACAAACTATGTGATTAGAGGGTTGGGACTCTGAGTCACAACCTCCAGGAGTGGAGGGGGCCTGAGGATGAGTTCAATCACATCGCCAATGATTAAATCAGTCATGCCCATATACTGTAGCCTCAACAGAACTCTGGACACCAGGGCTCAGGTGAACCTCCCTGATTCATGATATTCTGTGTATTGTCACACATCGACGTGCCGGGAGGGTGAAGCATCCCTAGGGATAATGGAAGCTTCGAGTGTGGGACTCTCCCAAACTTCACCCTATGTTGTCTCTCTCCCTTTAGCTGGTTCTGACTGGTATCCTTTTGCTATAATAAAACTACATTTTTAAGTACAGTTCTTTCTTGAGTTTTGTGAGCTGTTCCAGCGAATTACTGAACCTGAGAAGGTAGTGGGAACCCCAAATTTGTAGCCAGGTACTCAGAAGGGAGTGTCCTGGGGACCCCTGAGCTTGCTCTTGTCTGTATTAAGTGCAGTCTTGCATAGGGCTGTGCCCTTCACCTGTGAAGTCTGGCCTACAAACTACTACCAGGTAGTTGGTGTCAGAAATCATTTGCAAGTCTCTCACCCCCACTTAGATTATCTCCAGTCTTACTTCCAGAAACTTTGCCCTAGTTTTGATGACTAGCCATTTCATCTTTACTGGGCCCCTTATCATCAGTTCTCTCTACAGTGTTCATATACAGCTAATGTAATCCAAAGAGCTGACCTGCACAAACCGTATATCCCTTCTACTGTCCAACAAACCAAGGATTAATACTTGACTAGGGCAGCTGACCTCCTCTAACTTCATGAGGGGGAGAATCACCATCAGTGTCAGCCCAAAGCTGATTCCTATGAGGTGGAAGTCAGACATATCACCACTATCTAACCTTGTTACCAATTCTGACACCAGCCGTCCATCCCATGGTACTCTCTACTACTCTCTACTCCTCTGCTGTGTTTGATAATTCGTTGCAATGGCCACACAGACCTCACAGACCATGTTATGGGGTTTATTAGGAAAGCAACAGGTCACAATTCAAGATCAGGAACGACTCAGGATACAGTTCAGGACAGCTTCTTGGCCGTGCCTACAGGCAGGCGTCTCCTTGGCCCTAGGCCCCTTGGGCCTTTCGGGTCTGCCCGGCCTTTGCTCTACCCAGGTATAAGTGTTACAAAGATCTTTAGCTCTGCCAGTAAGTGCCCAGGGGCACTCCACTCAGCCAGTAAGCCTCGGCCCAAAGGCGCTCAGCTCTCTCGCTCTGTGAGTTGACACTAACTGTAACTGCCTTGCTCCGCGGGCCAAGAAAGCCCCTGCACCGTCTTGCACCGGTCTCCTAGTTCTGCTGCCACTGTTTCTCTTCTGCCGCTTCTCGCCATCTTGCGCCATCTCTGGTGTTACAGCTCTCTGTCTCCTGGGTCTAGGAGGTTCTCAGCACAAGGACCCTGGGTCCAAAGGACGTGCTTCCCTCCCATCTCTTCTTGGTGGTAGCGAATTCTCCTCACTTCCACCTCTGGGATGACTCATTTTAAGCCTAGTGGGATGGTAAAACTGACCCATCCCCTTGTTAGGGTTCCATACACCTTATTTGCATGGTCCCACCCCTACAAGGGGACCATGCACCTTATCTGCAATATTAGCAAGCTGTCCAATCCCCTTGGTGGACCACAATTACCTTATTTGCATAGCCCCACCCAATCTTTGGTGGGAGTTACAAGACCATGGCTAGAAAGGCTATATAAAAGTGATCCATCACACTGCAACTAGGAACTTGCCATTCCAGCAACTTGCACCTTACTCCCACCCATTACCTTTTTGTCTCAATCTATTTTATCCATTCATTTCAACGAATGCCTTGGAAACTGAACTCACCTACAGTCTGCTTCTCCTTTACCTTCACTGCCTAGACTGCAACTGTTCCATTTATAGTTAGCTTTTTCTCCATTGTCAATCTTCCAGATCAAAATTATTTCATCTAAGAGAATTCCATGACTAACCCAGATCCTAGATGTTCTCCTAACACCTCAATGATCCACTCTTTTGGTTAAATCCATTAGTGGATACATCTGTAGGTAAATACAATAGTGAAATCAGTCTAAAAAGGGTCTAAAATTTCTCACTGCTGATCTTATTTTCCTTAGTAATTAGTAGAAATCTACTCTTCAACCACTAAAACACAACTAAAGGCAAAAAGATTTTTTTAAGTTCAAACTTTTCTTCAACATTATCCCTAATACAATTTCCGAGGCCAACTCTTCAGACAGGGATTGGACTGGACTGTGGGACAGAAAGTGACACTCGTGAGGAGCGTACCTCTTAGCTCAAGTAGATACAAGAGACTAAACAGGCAGCTTCTGTCCAGAGGTGAGATGAGAAGGCACAGAAGGTTAGGAGCTGGTTGAATGGACATGGGGAATCGGGTGGAAAGGAGGAGCGTGCTGTCACAGTATGGGGAGAGCAATTAGGGTCACATAACAATGTATGTATAAATTTTTGTATGGGAGACTAACTTGAAATATAAACTTCACCTAAACTACAACAATAAAAATAAATAAATAAACATTATCCCTAATAATAACTCATTTCCTCTTGGCCCAGTTTATGAACTTTTAATCAAATACCAACCTAAAATAAATCTATTTAAAGTTGTGAGTTATCCATAGTTACTTCGGAAAATTTCAGCCAAGGGTGCATTTAATCAGATGCTGTCGAGTCAATTCCAAAATGGCGACCCTATATGTATCAGTAGAATGGCATTCCATAGGGCTTCCAATGGCTAATTTTTTGGAAGTAGATCACCAGGCCTTTCTTCTGAGGTGCCTTTGGGTGGACACAAACTGCCAACCTTTCGGTTAGCAGCCAAGTGCATTACCCCATTTGCACCACCCAGGGATTCTAAGGGTGTATTTAAAAAAAACCAAACCCATTGCCATCGAGTCAATTCTGACTCATAGCGACCCTATAGGACAGAGCAGAACTGCCCCATAGGGTTTCCAGGGAGCACCTGGTGAATTCAAACTGCTGACCTTTTGGTTAGCAGCCATAGCGCTAAACCACTACACCACCAGGGTTTCCCGGGTGTAT